CCCTGACAGTCAGGTATGCTATTCCATTTCAACCATGATGGTTTACTACTAGGTTGATAATTTTTCAGTCCTCCTAATACATTGACGAAAACAAATCATTTAAATACATGAATCGGATAATATACTTTACAAAATACTTATAATTAGAAAAAAAACCTTATCAATATGTTCATGCTAGCATTCTTAATTTTATATATTTAAATTCGTAAAATCTGTTTCAAAATACCTTTGACCTCCTAAAAAATAGATCTAACGAGGTCAAACTGTAAGACCGTTTATCTGCTGTATATCCCCTTCAATTTTATTAACCCAATACCTGACATAAAAATCTGCTGGAATGCATAGATGAGTCTAGAATGAGCAAAAATCGAAAATTACTGCCTAAAAATTGAAAAATACCCCGTTGCTAAGTAATCCCTTCAAAGTCATTATACGCAGAATTGAAAAAAAAAATATGCGAAAAGTGTAGTTCAGTATAATGCTCATTTTTACAGTACGTTTCAGATTTTTCTATTTCAACATACATCATTGTAAATTTTTAGTTTGAAGATTAAAAAGTGTCGAAAAATCGATAAATATTCCACTTATTTGACCTTTGTTTCTACTTATAAGGTCAGTCGTTGAGTACTTAAGTAGTCAGGAAATATCAGGAAATTCCCTACAAAATGGTATGCATTATAGCAAGCTTTCTCCTTGGATAAAAAAGAAATAATTTGATAATGATTTGTAAAAACGCTCTCCAAAGTCGCTTTAAATGCGCCGGAAGAGAAAGGGTTAAGGGGAGTGAGGTACTTTTGAATGAAAATTTTACGCATATAAAGGGGAATGAAAATTTATTAACTATATAACTGTTCAAAATATTGCATTTCAAGGTAGGTAAATGTATCAAAATAATGCTCCACAAAACGTCAAATGTTAATTGAAAATTTATGTGAATGTTTCAGTGCAAAGATAAAAATAAAACTACTGTACGGACTACGGTGTGCGCAAACGGTTACATCTGCTGGATGTCTCATTTGAAATCAACTGTGATCGACCGAAGCCAATCACTAATTTTTTTTAAACGGGTGTCGTTAGGCAAAATAAATCGCTTCTATATTGAACTTCCTTCGAGTAAAACAAGAAGTCTGTGAGCCAATGCTCACTTAAAATACTCCCGCTCTGATGTGAATATACAAGTTCAGTTATGGACAGACACAGTGATAATCAGGAAGTGGACATTGGATCTTTACAAAAATGAATCCCAACATATGGCATGCCTAAACAAAGAGTGTGCTAAAATTTCAAGCATCTGCGATGAGTAGTTGCTGAGAAAACAGCGACCAAAATTTCTTATGTATGGTACGGACAGACGCACGGATAAACAGGAAGTTGACATCGGATTCATACAAAAATGAATCCCACCATATGGCATGCCTAAACAAAGAGTGCTAAAATTTCAAGCATTTGCGATGAGTAGTTGCTGAGAAAACAGCGACCAAAATTTCTTATGTATGGTACAGACAGACGCAATAAACAGGAAGTTGACATTGGATTCGTACAAAAATGAATCCCAACATATGGCATGCCTAAGCAAAGAGTTTGCTAAAATTTCAGGCATCTGCAATGAGTGGTTGCTGAGAAAACTGTGATCAAACAGACACACAAGGGTAAAACAGTATACCCCCCTCTCCTTCGGAGCGGGGTTATAAATATGTCTATCCATTATCATAAATTTAGGCCTTAATACATTCAAACACTAATGCATGTTTTCCAATCATATCTCTCCGACCGGTCACCGTAGCTTAGTAGAAGGGCGTTCGCTTCGTGATCGGGAGGCCCGGGTTCGATTCTCGCAAACTTAATACTTTAATATATGCAGTGACTCTTCCTTTGCCAAGAGCCCGGCACTAGAAGTGAAAGTTACGGGTCTCTCGGATGAGACCTACAAAACCGAAGCCCCGTGTCATGGTACGCGTTGGCACGATAAAGAACCCTTACTGCCCAATGGGTATAGGTCTATATAAATTTAGAACCCTTAACCGGCATATGGTGACGTCTCTATATGAGTGAAAGGTATGGAAAGTGACATGAGAGCAGAAATGGTGACGGATGTACAAGATTATCATAAAAATGTTCGAGATGAAGATGCTATTACAATTTCTATACTCCAAGCAAACAAAAAAGCTGTTCAACTCTCCTGTGATATAAATAGAATATTTATAGTTTAATATTTTGAAATAAAGGAGTGAGTGGGGATACCCCCCCCCCCCGATATTGTATGTATACTTCCGTTGCTTCTATAGATAAAGTGGAAATCTCCTGTTCCTCCATATTAACTTCATTTATTTCAAAATGATTCACGTGTACAGTGATAAAAAACGTTTTGTTTTGATTCGAGGAAATGCTACATTGGGATATTTATATGTTGCTACATGGAGTTACATTGACAGGAGGCTTCCATCTCGCATAACCTTAGAAGGTTTTGTAGCTGACTTCGAGGCAGGACTCTGGCAGGCCCTCAAGAAGCGCTTCCCCAGATTTCCCATCCAGGGATGTGCTTTCCATTGGAGCCAGGCGGTGTTCCGAAAAGTCCAAGAGCATGGATTGAAGGTAGTAAATAAATGATTTATGAAGAATACCCAAAAGTATACTGTTGCAAGTTATTAATATTATAATTAATATAGGATTTAAAAGCTTGAGACGAGGGTTTATTCTGGTTCTTAATTTACAAATTAATTACATTGTCAATAAGAAAATACTTTTTTAAAATACAATGAAATGTAGAAACTCAAAATGATCATACTCTACATTATAATGTTATGTTTATTTTTCTTATATTTTTTTCTTTCTTTCTTTTATCGTTTCCTTCGCCAAGTGATGTTCCTATCCTTCCTTCCCCCTGAGCACATTGAGGAAACCTTGAACAGACTTGATGCCAGGACACCAGAGGCACTTCAGCCAATCATGGACTATATATACCAAACCTGGATAAGGAGTACCATCTTCCCCATAGACCACTGGAGTGTGTTTATGACGTCCACATGAACAAACAACGATGTGGAAGGTTGGCATAAGCGTTTCAACATCAGTGTAGCCACAAAAGGACCAGTGTCATTTTATCCCCTTGTCCAGGACTTGTATGCAGAGGCTATGGAAATCCCTATGCAACTCAGATTGGTGGCAGAGGGAAAAGGAGTAGGCAAATTCAAGGGAAATTGTTCAGACTATGGGAGCGTTATTGTGAGAGGACCTTTTAATGTATGAATATGCGGGGAAAAGTTATTATAAATAAAGGATCATATAGATTCTTATCTTATATATCACATAGATTTCTTATACAGTATTTACATGAATTGTATTCCTAGAAAAAATGGATATGCTCCCCCCCCCCCCCCCCCGAAAAAAAAAAATCATTATTATATATTTACACACACACTTCAATATATAGATATTTTTTTCTAAGTACCGTTTTCACTAAAAGGCGTTTTTACCAAGTACCGTTTTGCATATTCCATGTGACGTTTTCACTAGGTACCGTTCGAAATTTAAATCCTAGGTTCAAATCCATCCAGAGGCACAAAAAACTGTCTTGTTACATTTGGCACAAAAAACTGTCTCTTGTTACATTTGGCACCAAAGCTGGGATCAGGATATTCTCTGGCGGGTGAAAATGAATGCCCCCAGAACTTTTCCCCACAGGCGTCAGCACTCTAGAAGCTAGTTTGGGCTAGATGGTTAACCCTTAGCTCAATTGGTTGAGTACTGGACTGGCATGCCGATCCCAGGTTCAATTCCAAGCGGAGGCACAAACCTGTCTGTCATATTTAAACCCCTAGCTGTACCATGTTAACACATCTTCCACCCACGCCAAGAGCGAGTTCAACTTTGTTGTCGAAATTTCCTCGTACGCGTTAGCTATAAGCAGGGCAAAATTTCACAAATATCTTGTACCATAAAGTAGTCTAAGAGCGTTATGAAAGAAATCCACTTGATTTCTCTGTTCTTTTGGCAATATGTTTGATAAAGAATGCAGGAAAGCATTTTAACGAATGTTAAGAACTCTGTAGAAATACTTTTAGAATGAAACAAAGACAGAGTGAATTTCGATCTTCTGATTTTTATTTTAAATTATGTCATAAAGTCGTCTGAAATTTTTAAAAAAAAACTTAAACTCTAAAATCAATTTTTAATTTAATGATTGCTAGAAACTGTGTCACGAAGCTCTTCTTCAAATAGATATAGAACAGACTTGAACACTGCCGTGTACAGAGAATTTTTAAGATTACCATGACATATTTATGTATACATTCACTTCGAAAAAAGATAGATAATAACTTCAGTTTAATTCCTATCCCGAATAATAATCCGTAATGTAAACAAAATTCAAAAACTAAATGTCCTACACTGTCTGATTTTGACACGTGGCCAGTTGAACTCAAAATACCGATTTAAATACATATGCTATGCTATTTATATTTTCATATAATTTATTTTTCAACGTTTAATAAATGTCATCAAAAATATTTTAATGTGTATACTTAACACGATTGATAATAAATACAATGAGTTTTTGAGTCTCAGTAGTAGTTACACAATAGGTTTTTGTTGGTTATGTACAGAAGGACGAACGTGGGGAAAAAATTCTTCATCCTTCTGTACATAACCAATTAAAACCTACTATGTAAGTCACATGTATCAGAGCCATACAAAGTATCTTGCACGTGCAAAAAGAAATTTTAGCGTTTCATTTCCCGCTTAGAAATGAATGTGGACGGTTGATAAAGCAGAAAAATGGACGTGGACGATACCTGTGAGGGTTTATTTGATTTGGGGAGCCTGTGGGACACTACAATTGACGACATTACTCTTTCAGAAGCAACTGAGCACCTATGGGGACACTACAATTGACGACATTACTCTTTCGCAAGCAACTGAGCAGATAGAGAAGGAGATTGAATTTCCTAGAGAACATCACCTTATCTCAGGCAATCACCTTGTACAACCCCGGACCCGATGACATGGAATTGGACTACGCGGTTGATTTTGATCTACTCGCAAAAAAGGAGGGAGGATCTAAGATGTCGGTGGGTCGTTATGATCATTTTGTAAATGACATTGATTTAAAAGAGTTGCTTAATTCAACAGAGAGCAAGAACACCCGCAAGAACACAAATTGGTCGGTAACTACTTTTCACGACTGGCGCTCCGCTCGGATGTTGACAACAGGCGACCAGATTCCGGATATTCTGTCGTCCTCTGCAGAGGAACTTATTCTTGGTTGTCAAGATTTGTTGTTGAAACGCAAGGCGTACCCTCCTAAAACACTTTACATGCTGTGTACTGGACTTTTAAGACATTTGCGAGAAAATGGTTTGCATTTGAAATTTCTAGATGAAAAGAACTCCCAATTTTACGAATTCCGGAAGAGTCTTGGTGCGCGAATGGCAGAACTTACCGTACAAGGAGTGGGGACGTCTACTAAGCAGGCCGAGCCGATTTCTGAAGAGGCAGAAAATGTTCTTTGGGAAAAGGGTCTCCTCGGCAACAGTACAGGAGAATCTATGCTAAATACTGTCTTTTTCTACAATTGCAAACTTTTTGGTCTGAGAGCTGTTGACGAACACAAAACATTATCTGTAGACCAGTTTGAGTTGGGTCAAGACCAAAAGGGCAAGTGTATAAATTTCACAGGAAGGGAAAATAAGACATACAAAGGTAAAATGATTTACAAATTTAAGCACAACACAAATTGTTAATCGGGTTTGTAAATGCATGGGGCACAAAATGCTGAAAAACATTCAATTTCTATATCGATCTGTTAATTTACTTTTTACCTTGTATAGAATTTATATTAATAATTACAAATACATCATTGCGGACAAAACTATTGATAAAAGTAAATTGTGCAACGTTTATTAGAATAATTACAATTTGAATGTACAATGTCATTTTTTTTAAGGTGGGTTGTATCAAAGACATGTGAGCGCGAAATCAATAAGACATCACTTCCAGGGCGAAAAAGTATACAATATCTACAAGGAATACTTCAATCTGGTGGTGGTTGATTCAGAAAATAACAGATTTTACCGGCGACCATTGGCAAACGGGAGAAAACAGCGAAGTCCGTTTCAGTATACACGCGGGTATGTTAAGGCTACACCCAGATATCCTACTTGCCTTTACAATATGACGTCATAGTAAGCTGTATGACGTGATCTTTAGAAATAATGATTTCTTAAAATCTATATTTAAAGTTTAATTTCAGGTCCAAGAAATGAATGAAATCATTCAAAAACATAATATAAACTAAATCTTGTCATTTTTGGGTGGTATAAATAGCTAAGTATTTATTACGGGGGTTAAATACCAAACCCATGACGTCTTAACTATTGATCAAATATTTGCCGAGTGAAGATGAAACGTGACGAGAATTCATGTAAACAAATATATGAAATGGGAGTTTTAAAGCATATACCGTGAATGTTATGTGTGATTCATAAGGAATTAAAGATTAGGAATCAGGTACGCTGATATATTCTTATCATGTTTTCTTATAATGAACACAGGCAGTACTTTGAAATCCCGACCAGTTTTTCCTCTTTTGCTCTATAACAAAAAAGATGCAAAAGGTCAACACTACGCCGCATACTGTGAAACATAATTTTTGTTCGTATCGAAAGCTTGTATTCTATAGTACTTGGAAAGTGCTGCTAGAATCGTGTGGTTAACATAAATTGATGACAATTCCTTGATCGTATGTATAAAATGTAAAAATTTTGGTAAGGTTTCATGCGAAACTTTGGAATAATTTTTTCTGTGTTTGGAGAGTAGGATTCTAGCAGCACTTTTCATGGTCCAGTGATGTTTTTACATAACTACTTTCACAAAAAGAAATGAATTTTCCCTGGGGTAGTGTTGAACTTTTTACTTTTTTATTAAGGCAATTTTTCTATTTATAGACGTCACGTGATGACGTAATGGAGTGCTTCTTTTAGCCTAAGACTCAATGACGTCCATACAATGGATAATAATAGTAAATATTTATCAATGACTTTTCCGATTTATTAATGTTACATTTTACGAAAAAAGTCCAAAATCGCCGAAATATGATCTGTGTACTGCCTTAACATACCCGCGCAACCCATTGGAGTCAACAAATTATGTACAATTATGAAAAATATGTGTGATAAAGTCGGAATTCCCGGATTCTTTTCTAATCATTCGGGTAAGCGCACTTCCGCAACCGCTCTCTACCAAGCTGGGGTACCGGAACAGGAAATTATGGAACGTACAGGCCACAGATCTATAGAGAGTGTCCGTAAATAAAAGCGTCCAAGTGAGGAGATGCTACGTGATATTTCCAACGCACTGGAACCAGATGAACCGGTCGGGAAAAAGGCTAAAACCTTGGACGAAATTGAAAATCCAAAGCATGGAGATTGCGAGTGTAAAAACACATTTAACAGTTGTCAAGTATATTTCAACCTTTGAAAAGGGTGTTTATTGTAAAAGTAGAGATGAAGTATTAATTTTTCATTTCATTTAATACAGTGGATAATTTCTCCCCCGACAGAAACGGAGGACTACCAATGTATGTGAATTCTTTGTTAATTAAATTTGAGGAAAATGTACCTTTGCAATGAATATTAAAGGTAGAAATTTATGCAAATGATTAACGTCATGATTTTATGATATCAGTTTTGCCACGCTTATTGGGTATCAATGGTTATGTTCAGATACCCCCAGTTAAGATCAAAAGAAAATTACCGCTGCTATGGTACATTTGGAATATAACAGAATACCATTTGTTGTTAAAGTTATTGTTACATTTCAATTAAAGGCGAATTAAGAAAGATTTTTATCTGATGAACTCTCAGATGATTCCTCTATAATCTCCTGAGATAAAAATTCAACATTTTCGAACCCAGACTTGGAACAATTCCATTGACTATTACTAGAAAAAATTCTCTATGCTGCCTAAAATACCTAGATGTAAATGATTGTTTACATCCTGGACATTCTTTTCTTGACATTTTCTTTCGTTGAGCTCGGTGAAAAACTGAGTTTTTTATACCCCCGCTCCGAAGGTGAGGGGTGTATACCGTTTTACCCTTGTCTGTCTGTCTGTCCGTGTGTCCGTCTGTCTGTCCGTAACAAATTTTGGTCGCAGTTTTTTCAGCAATTACTCATCCCTGATGCTTGAAATTTTAGCACACTCTTTGTTTAGGCATGCCATATGGTGGGATTCATTTTTTGTGAGAATCCGACGTCAACTTCCTGTTTATCCGTGCGTCTGTCCGTACCATACATTACAAATTTTGGTTGCAGATTTCTCAGTAACTACTTTTTGCAGATGCTTGAAAGTTTAGCACACTCATTGTTTAGGCATGTCATATGATGGGATTCATTTTTGTATGAATCTGATGTCAACTTCTTCTTTATCCCTGTGTCTGTCCAAAAATGAACTTCACATCAGAGCGGGGGTATTATAAGTGAGCATTGGCTCACAGACTTCTTGTTTGTTTTCCTGACATCTTATCAACATTTCCGTTCTAACTTTTTTTTCAATTTCAAAAGTAGCAAAAAGTACAATTCTGGTAACTCATTATTGAAAAGGCTTTAAAAAGTAAATTACCAAAAAATATACAATTAACCCATGACTGAAAAAAAAGTGCTAATAGCTCAAAAAATCTTTTGAAGTATACTGATAATCAATTTAACAACGATAAAAATCCTTATAGACCTTGCAACAAAATTTACATTTCTTTTTACTTTTGATGAAATGAATACAGTGGCTTGTAAATCTTAGAAGCTTTTCCCATTTGTGTCTTTCATCCTCCAACATTTTTCGTAATTTTACTGCATCCCTGTTCCCATCCCCAAATAACTCTTTCGCAGTTTTATAGGCGGTCCTCTCTTCTACGAAGGCTTCATCTATAAAGATGCAGTCTTCCTTGCACTGTGCATCAATTTCGCTTTCAGCCTCCTCTAACCCAACTGAATATTCCTCCTCAGGTCAAACTTTCTCCACTGGAAAAATTAATCATAATACCCATGTTGAACAAATGAATTTTTTTTTACAACTGTATCACAAATGAAAATCATTTACATTTAACAAGAGTATCAATATGTATCCCTCTATCTTCAATAATTATTTTTTTATTTATTTGAGTGTATGTTAGCTGCAATAATGTAGCCCTCTCCAATTTTTTTTTTTTTTTTTTTTTTTTGGGAGAGGGCTACAACTCCTTAGGATCTCCGTAATGGTGCAAGTGCGGGAGTGATTCACTACCGCACAGATTTCGGCTCAAATTATCAGTAAGTGGGTATTTTATTAACATATCTTACCTGAACTCAAAAAATGTAGTTATGCAAGACATGAACTGATCCAAAAATATACAGAACAATCCGTATATCGGTTATTTTTCGTGTATGTCAACATCACAACTTGAATTTATCCGCCATGTTTACTGACCTTGATCGATTTTATTTTGGGACAACCAATGAGAATTCGGGATCTAGGGGAGTGGATCGTTTAGGATTTCCCTTAATTTTAATCATAAATAACACTGTTTATGAAAAAATATCCCATGGAATGCTCTTATTTATCGATGTTTAATGATATCATACAACACAAACATTTATCAACACCGACATTTACTTTATCAAGTGATTCTAAATTTGAAGCGCAAGTCTCAGTACATCACGCGAGAACTGTCATGGCTGCTGAGGAAAACGACTTGTAAACACGCAGATTTATTTTACTCGGTTTTCGTGTATGAAGGGCTATGATGTTGACAGTGAATAAAAATTCCGTCTTATTGGAAGTAAGTTGAATACAAAAACAATTTATTTTGCCTGCAGTCGCCCGTATCTAAAAAATATATTTGCACCATTACGGAGATGCAATGGAATTGTAGCCCTCTCCTGAAAATATCAGATTAAAAAAAATCTGAGAGGGCTACATTATTGCAGCTAGAGTGTATGTATGTGTCAATGATGAGCAAGTAATCATAAAATGACATACATCCACTTGACTTATATAAGTAAGAGCCTTTAAATAAATTGTTCACTTTTCATTCCAAGTCATGTAATATTTACGGGTTTTTTTGACTGAACATTTCAAGTTCCTCAGAACTCTCATCCAACTGCCGGAGCTTTGCCTTTTCCATTCTGTGTTTTTTTTTTGTACAAAATTAAATCAAAAGTCTGAAAGGCATGAAAAATAATATTAAAAGTTCTTTAATTTGAATTAATTAAAATATAAAAATTAAACATTGTAAATCGAAGTGTCACAATTATAAATGTGGTACATTATCCTGTGGTTCGAACTGAACACTGATCAAATTAACCAGATTCTGTCATGGAAGCCTGATCATGTTGTTGGAATTAACTTAATTCATCTCGTCAGTCAGTTGAAGAACAAGGAAGAATTTCAATACTTTTCAACTTGCCAATTATAACTTAACATTGCTTTTTAAAATATGTTTAGCCTACAAGACATTTTCAGTGATTGTCCGATTCTAAAGAATTCACAGAAATTTCCAATTTAATCACCATGGCGACATATTTCTTGCAAAATTAAAAACAAAAAGACTTACGTCAGAAATACGTACCTTGAACAGTTTTTTTTGTCTATTAAGCCAAGTAGTATTGAAATTAGCCAAAATCATTGGAGAATTAGTTTTTTGAAAGATTGCATTATTTATTAAGTTAATAAGTGACTATTACTACTTCGTTTGTGAAAATCAAAATT